CAGCCAACTCCACGTAGAGTTCAGACATATATACGTTTGGTCTTATATTGATTTCACGTTGCGCCAAAATCTATTAGAAAATATATCATAATAAATTCTAATAAAATAATAAGACTTACATACATCGCCTATATCAAAATGCTTTGGTTCTATCTTCATAATAGATACGCCAGTCTTTTGATCACCATTCATAATAGCATAAATAATGGGCGCAGCACCTCGCCAACGCGGTAGTAGGCTAGCATGCACATTTATCATGCCTCTACATTTTTTTATTAATATAAAAAAAAATTATTTAATAACTTTATAAAACAATTAACATACATACAAAGGAAATGATTCAATTAATTTTTGTGGAATTAAATGTCCAAACGATACCACCACACCAAGATCATAATTATGGCACAACTCTGCTTCAACCGGCCAACGGTGCAAAGCTATATTTTGTTGGCTTGCAAATAAGCGTACACAATTTGCGGGATTTTTAAAAGATGTCACTGTGCCTAGCTGATTTATTATATCTGTAGAACTAAATTATTTTTAAATATAATTGAAATAAATTGTATAAACAAAAGATCTTACCTATTTTTATGCAATATCTTTAAACTTGGTAGAGAAAAATTGTCAGTACCAAAAAATAGCACGTTTAAACCTTTTTTAACGTCTGTAGCTAAAAATCTTTTAGGATATTGTAAACTATTTGCACAACAAACAAATTTTCTTTTATATTTATATAAATATTTAAAATATTTATTAGATAAAATCATGTTTATGAATATAAAAGTAACGAGAATTGTATCAACAGCAGTTGCTCTTTGACAGTTGACAGCGACAGTCTTTTTTACTTGCTGCATAAAATAAAAAGTAGTTTATTATTTTATGTAAACATAAAATGGCTTTAAATTAATTTAAATATATAATATATAAGTATGTAAACAAAAATTTTTTTATTATATGGAAATCAATTGAATATTAAATATTAATGGAAAATACTCGTTCGTTTCTATTTTACTCGTTACATTTGACAAACGCAAATAACAACCCCAAAAGCAAATGTCAAAAACGCTTTCAGCTGATAGTGAATTGTCAAAATAAAGGAATTTATTTTTATTTTTGATGATACAGGTTTCGAGTGTCTTCTTTACAATTTTTGTACATAATTAGAAGTACGAGGTGTTTATAGTTTTTAAAATTAAATTCAGCACTTCGTTATTAAAGTTTAATAAAAAAAAATTATATTGAAATGGATACACCCGATACAATGCAAATTGCATTGCGTGTTGCTTTACAGACAATGAAGGAGCGATGTGTTGCCTTGCAAGAGCGTCTTACAATTGTTGAAGATGAAAATCGTGAACTACGTGAGGAAAATGCACAGCCAAATATAAATCATAATTATGACACAAGTGACGGCACTGCTGAAAATTTGCAATTACGCATGCAAATAGCAGAATTACAACGACAAAAAACACAATTGAGCGAACATATAAATATGGTATCCACTGAAAACCGTAAATTATGGTCACGACTTTCACAAATGGCTAAAGATCAAGGCAAAGTAGTTGGTGCCAAAGAAAATGATAATACAGTTGTTAATGATGATGAACATGATGCAGTAAATAGTCCACGTCGAAATAGTGGTGCCAATCAAAATCTAATACGTTCAAAGACTTTCACACAACATTCACCAAATCCACAACTACGTCAAAAATTGATCTCAAACGAAATTTCAGATGATATAAACGACTTGAGTATGGAGGAAGTTGCTTTAAATGCATATAGTGGCAATAATAGACTACCAAACAAAACAGATTTGGGATTTACTTATTTTAATGTAGATGAAACTACAATTGGTGCAGATGCTACAACTCTTGATGTAAATCAAGAAGCAAAAAAATGTATTGCGGGTTTAGATGAAATGCGTGCTGAAGCTCTTAAACAACAACAGGGACTTTATGCTGCATTAACAGCAATTGAGAGTAGAATTGGTGAGTTTAATTGTTTTTAAAGGATCGCTGTACTGATTGCTATAAAAAATTCACATTTGTATATTTTATTTGTTATCTCTATTAAAATAATTTCTTGTATTCACCCTTTCAGCTTTGCAACCTTGTTCGAAATGCGCACAAAAAGCTAAAAAACCGGAAATGGCTGATAAAAGTCTTGAGACTGACGAAAGTCTTACTGATGTGAAATTTTTTAACAACAATCAAACGGTTCTTGAAGTCAATACAAATTCACAAAGTCACAACAACATAGATACAAATGATAAACCCAGTCAACCTACACAGCATCTCAACATTATAGAAGAAAAAATTAAAGCTGATGAAGCAGATAAAATGTGTCCAATGTGTGGTAAAATATATTCTAGTGTTGTAACCTTTGACTCTTTTCGAGAACATGTTGAAACACATTTCATTGATGACTCACTTGAAAATGACACCAGTTTTGACCGTTTCCATAATGAACTCATTTCGCATACCGTAGGTGACTTCTGACAAAGCAAAAAAATTTATTTCTCTTCCGAACTGTAAAATGTATATTTTTTTGCCCTTATTTTATGTTTAGAATTAATAAAAAATCATTATGTTATATGTATTAATACAATTGTCATATAATGCTTATATAAAAATATTTTTCAATGTATATTTTAGCAACTATTTTTTATTGCGAAACAAATTTGCCAAAAAAATAAGAAAAATTTGCTATTGCATCAGAAAAATGTTTATGTAATATTTTGTACAGAATCCTTTTGTTAGATTCTATCAAATGTATTCATTTATATTCAACAAATTAATATTAATTTTATATGTCTGTATAGGTTTTAAGTTTATGTATTACATTATTTTTATCTGTAATGTAAATATTTTTACAAACTACATTTTTAATAAACATTAGTTACAATATATTATCATTTATTGTGTAAATGTGTTCTGTTATGATAAATTTCACTTTTTGGTATATGTATATTCCGTTGTACGTATTGTAATTACGATTTAGTAATAGACCGGATTCTTGATGTATTAGAAATATTCTTCATAGAATTAGAGTTAAATTTTTGCGTGGTCTTCAGAGTTGTGAACCGCATTTTTGTGCCTAAGAAAAAGGATAGCTTTAAAAACAAGTGATGACTTTCAACTTACTGTAACCAATAAAGCGCATGAATGTGATATGATAAAATTCGCTAAACATTAATTCAAAATAAATAAATATTTCTCACTAATAATAAGCTGTGATCAAATAACTTCCAGCAGTATTAATTGAAGCGATAGTAATTTATAACATGAACATTTTTTGCTGAGTATGGTTTTGTTGTTGTAACTCTTGGAAGCATTGTCGCTATTGGAAATGGTAAGCGGCAGTTGATCAGCGTTTCCTGACGCCCTAACGATTGTGACGTTTGAAGGAAGAAAATATTGTTGCTATTATTGTGGCCCATCGGAGTGTGTGTAGAAAGCAAACACAGAAAGGGATGCCAAGACAAGAAAATAATAAAGGAGTGCGAAGAGATTACGTAAAATAGTATAACTTGCTTATCCTATAACTCGAGAAGATTGTGTTACAGGAATTATGGTAGCAATCGTGGGTGCTGATAGAGGTATTTTGTCACTTAAATAGATAAAGGCATAAATCGAGCTTATATTAGTGTGTGTGCTTGAGGTGATGAACGGAAAATAACGTCATGTGGAAGAAACAGCAGTTAAAAATGTTGAAGCTTGTGGTTTCAAGTACTTGGGTATGATTATAAAAACCAATAATAGCACTTAAGACTGCAAACAACATTAAATGTTAACAGCCAATAAATGTTGCTAATATAAACCATATATTCCTACGGTTAGTTTCAAAATAAGAATTTGCAAATAATTATAGAACTTATAGAGTTTATAAGTAAAACTTATTAAGTAATAAAGCATAAATCTGTACACTGATACATCAGGAATAGCAAGACATCAGGATGTTCGAACAAATGTTCGATCCTATACTCGATCCTGTACTCCTAGTAGTAACATAGGGCCGATAATAGTTGAATAATGTGTTTAAAAATCTTTTAAAATAAAAATTTGAATGATAATTTCATTTATTTAATATAATATATTTTCAAAACTTAAAAATATTGATTAAAGTTATTTTTTTTTTTATTCTGAATGTATTTGCAAACACATTCAAGTAGCACAAAAGAAGCATATTAAAAAATAAAAATAAATTTAATATATAGGTAAATATTAAATTATTAAGAACAAAATAAATATAGCTTTATCTACACAATCAGCTAAATTGAATATATATTTTATAGTATTTTCAAAGTTTATATTATATTAATATTATTTTATTCATAATTCATATACATATGTATATCAAAAATTTCTCTAGAACTACTCTTCGTTGCATTTAATAGCGTTCCTATTAATCTCTAAAAAATTAAAACAATACAATACGACAGTGGAAGATATCTCAGTACACTATGTCTTCTTTTTCTTTGTTTAATGAAACACTAGTTAGTGTTACTAGTTGAAACCATTAAAATCAATATTGCGATTAATATATAAGATTTATTTTTAAATCCTATTTACCCATATTATTTATTTATTTATTTTTAAAAAATTACACTCCCATACTCTAATTTATAATAAATCTAATACAATAAACATTAAAAATGATGATGGTTTAGAAAAATGTTCTACTTTTCATTAATGTGTGTCATTTCAAAATACAACACAAAAGCGGCAAGAGATTTAAATACTCAAAGCAAAAAAAATATTTAATTGAATAAAAAAATTAATTATTTAAATGATTGAAAAATACTTTAAATTAAAATATTTCATTTTTATTATTCACTTAATTAACTGCAAATGTACGAAAGATAAAATTTGAATTATTATCGATTCGGAAGCTGATAACAGCGGATCGCATCGATGCCAGTATTACGTGTGGATCAATGCAGTTGCCGCAATATTTGAACTCAGAAATATAAAATATCGAGCTAAAGTCGAAACCGAGTCATTCGGGTGTGATTGGTGTCAGCATTCACTGATGCAGAGCAACTTAAGTGCGATATATATGTGGTCGGTAATATAAAAATTTTAAAAAATCCAATAAAAACTAAAGCAAATTAAATTAATTATTTTAAATTTATATAAAAAAATATTTTAAAAAATGCTATCCGTGAATATGTTAAATAGACTCTTGTTATTTCTGCCTTTGGCGATTCCAAATGGTCGAGGTTGGTTCTTTAATAAATATATAAAATTCGAAAAATTATGAACATGTTTAAAATAATATAAAAATAATACTATATTATTATGTGAGTGAACTGAAATTATTTAATTATAATTTAATATATGAAATGTTGAACAATTAAATACTATAATAATGTTTTATACAAAAAGCATAAACATTATTTTTAAATAATTATGGGACTAAATAATATATAAAAATATTTTTTATTAATGTTTTTGTTTTGAGTTTATACAAAAGTAATATATATTTTATTGGGTTTCATCTTAAAATTAAATTAAAAGTACAATAAAAATTTTTTTTGTAAGTTAATTGTTTATTAATGTTGGTTTTTTTATTTATTTCTGCTTTTAAGAAGCAATACCCCTGCTCTTACAAGCATAGCGTTGCAGACCTATCGTCAGCAATTTTAATAAGAAAAGAATATGCATTTGAGCCACACTTTATCTGCGATAAAATAATCCAAATAAGCTAAATATTGCTTGCATTGCATATTCTATTTGTCAACTTACGAATTTATTTCGATATTTACATCTCAATTCAGAGAGTTTTTAGGGACAATACAGGGTAGGAAGAAGAATAACTCTGCATATGAATAAAATTCTAAGGTGTACAGCAAATTTAATAAATTATTAAGAAATTGTGAAATTATGTACGTAAAAATAAAAAAAATGTATAAATTGAATAATAAAAATAAAATAATAAAAATCTTGTATGTACTTTAAACATCTGATATCCCGAAACAAAAACGTTGTCTTAGCTTTAAACCAACTTCAATTCCACTTATTTCGCGTGGAGAAATGGTTGTCAAAATGACGAATTAAAATTAATTAACTAAAATGTAGACACATCATTTTTACCTTAAATCGGAGTACATTTCCAAAAATTTTTTTAAATATAATTCTCATACCACAAACAAATAATATAACGTACTTAAGTTTTCACCTAGACAGGCGACTAACTAGTCGCAAGCATATTGAAGCATGTTGAAGAATTAGATGAAGCTCCAAGCCTCTAAGTTGCATTGGCTCATTAATAAAAGATCCTCCCTGTGCCTAGAGTATAAAGTACTCTTATATAACAGCATCGTAAAACTAATATGGACCTATGGTATCTAGCTATTTGGTAATGCTAGTGTTTCAAATATTGAAATTATCCAAAGAGCTCAGTCAAAAATACTGAAAACAATCACTGGTGCCCTATGGTATATTAGGAATGAAAGTATCCACCGCGATTTACAAATTCCCTTAGTTAAAGCTGAATCTGACAATATAAGAAAAAAATAAAAAAAAAAAAATCTGACAGAATATTTTAACCCCTTAGCAAGGAATCTCGCACTTGTGTATCCATTACTTCCCGCCTAAAACGAGCTGACCGTCCAGCCATTAATTAATATGCAATAGCTTGAAGTAAAAACGCTCCTTTATTTTAAGTAATCTGATAAAGTTGATAATAAATCAGCTTAATAAACAACCTAACATTCACTCCAATGATATTTAACCCATTGATCTAACTGAGGTTTATGATATATAAAAAAAAAAAATTCTTCAAATAGTATGTAAATTGATTATAAATTTTTAAAATACTCCTTAATTGTTGAGTTATTTTTTATACATAACAAGGATTTATTCCATTTACACTACGTTAGCATTTGTAGAGGTATTTTAGGTTTAAGCTGGAAATTTGCATTTGGAAGCACTTTACCGAATCATTGCGAACTATTTAGGATCATAGACTAACAACTTATGGACTAATCGCGAAGATTGTGTGGTCGCTAGAACCTTATGGCCTAATTTTAACAAAAATAAAACGAAAATACATTTGGATTTCAGCAAACCTACAGTTCGTATGCTTACTGGAGTACTAACGGGGCACTATGCCATTGCGCCTATGCTCCTTGGGTGGCGAGTTTCAACATGTGAATTATGCAGGAGTTGCTAAGATGAGGAGAATGTAGAATCCATCAACCGCTTTCTGTGTCTCTGTCCAGGACTGCAGACAAGGTGACTTCAATGTCTTGGGGATTGCTTTTTCATAGGCATGGAAGAGTTGTAACAAAAGCAAACTTATCGGATCTCCACAAATTTATCTGAAAAATCAAATGGTTTAACAAGGATAGAAGATAGAAAAGGTTAGCAACTCGCCTCTCTCGGCATAATCTTTAAGGGCATCACAATGGGCAATATATGTATGCCTTCGAGTGGCAGTGCTGATAACTGTCAGCACGCACCTTCTCAACCTAATCTAACCTTACCGAATTATTATATTGGGTGAACTTTATTTTATCAAGATAATTAAACATAGTTTATAATTAAATTTTTCATTCATTTCATTATAAAAATCTTCTTTCGAAGGAACACTTAACCTTTAGTTCTATAATTCGTTACTAATAAATGTGTATAAGATATAAAAAACGGCAATATATAAATGTAATATGTTTCTTTATTAGGTGTAAACAATTATATTCTTTTATTATTTAAAATAAAACCAATTGTATAACTTACATATAAATGTGCATATTTATATGGTTAAATGTTATTTTGAAACAAAAGCTATTGTATCGTAACAAAACTATTTTATTCAATTATAGTTTTTTTTCTATTTTCACTGTCAGTAGCAAAATTATGCTGAATTTATTTGCTAAATTTATTAAAATATTTAAAGCTGTCTTCGGATTTAAAATGATTAATGATCCATTAAAATTTTTTAGGGTATTTACATGATAATGATAAATAATTATGTCTTCAAAATCGTAACAGAGGAAATGTTTTAAATAATACCAAAACTCGAATATTGTCTTAATATTACAATAATTTGTTACATATGCAAACGCGTTTAAGAAATTGTTTATATTTTTATAAAAAATAAACAAAAAAAAATTTATAGCAAAATTTTAAAGCTTAAGTGAAAGTGCAAAATAAAAAGAATTGACCTCCCAGGTAGTATTTTTGTCTTTATTCTTATATATAAAAAATTTATTTTAAACAATAAAAAAATATTAATAAATTAATATTTAATGTATCTTAAGGAGCTTCATGCTGTTATTAATTTCCTTTGTAAAGTTCGAAATTGAAACACAAAACGTAACCGTTTTATTTTATTAGATTTAAATATGGATTAACTAACCATTAAGTTGATTGCTTTATAATACATAAGCAATAAATATTTATTTCGTATTTCACAAAAATGCTAATGGCACTAATAAAACAAACTTAATATGCAACAAATAAAATGGCTTAGGTTAAACGGCTATATTGATCAATATTTTTATTATTGAAAGATTTTAAAATTGCTATTTCTTGATTTTTTAATTAAAAAATTAAGTTCACAAAAACAAAAATGTGTGAGGGCTACATTTTGATGAAGGATTAGAAAAATAGCAAAGTACATATTCTTCGAGACTCAAAAGGTGCAAAACAAAAATTAGCTTCTGCCAATGAAACTTTGCAGTCTAATAAGCAAATTCATTAAATTTAATGATCTTCAACAATAACTAAAGTCTTGTGGTTGTCGAAGTCCATCGCTTGGAACCTACACCAGACTAATTGAGTCTGGTGTAGTGTGTGAATCGTGTGACACTTTCGTTTAAAACCCAAAGTTAAGCTGGTCGAATAACTGTATTCATTACCGTTATTCGATGTAAAATTTCATTTTGAGGCCGGGTGCTGTGTTCAAAAAACAACAGAGGTATTAAATTTCCTCCTACCCAAGGAGGAAACTATATCCGAACGTATAGCTTCAATTGGTAACGATGGAAGTCCTTGGAATTCAATAGGAGCGTTTATCGTTGCCTTATGCCTGTATTAAGAATACTGCGATATTGACCCTTAAAAAGCATGAACTAGAAAAACTTGCCTTTTTAGTGAATTATTATTTATATTATTATTCTATTATATTATATTCTATTATAATATATTTTAATTGTTGAAATATTTAATATATTTTAATTGTTAAAATATCTATTATATTTTATTGTTAAATATTATTAAATTATTTATAAATTAAATTATTATTAAACACTCTATAATATTAATATGTACTAATTATAATAGACAACATATATATTTTTATATTTTTTTTAATTTTTTCTAAATTTTTCTTTTTGAAAAATATTTTAGTTTTAGATAATACCATTGGTGATACTCGCGCTGATGATTCATGGAGTTATGATAATACTGAAGACTGGGGTATCAATTATCCACAATGTGATGGTATACGACAATCACCAATTCATTTAATATCGAGTAATGTAAGAACTTAACTTAAAGTATTAATTTTTTTATTTTCACCATTATTGCTTTAATATATATATATATATAAACTTCAATTGTTTTTTAAATCAATTATTTACAGTGTGATAAATAAGATAGTCACCAATTAATTTAATATCAAGTAATGCCAGAAAAACTCAAAGTATTAATTTTAAATATATTGTATAAATAATAATATATAAATAATATTAAATATATAAGTATATAAATATATATATATTAACTATTATATTAAGTATTAATTTTTTATATATTATATAAATAATAATATATAAATAATATTAAATATATAAGTATATAAATATATATATATATATATATATATTTACCATATTTAGTTATTAATGACAAAAAAAAAAGTCATAAACTTCGATTGTTTTTTAAATAGGTAAAAGTAACATTGCGCACCAAGTATATTCAATAGGATATGAGTTGGCTAAATGTATTTCTACATGGTCTTAACAGAGTTCTTACATTTTTCGTTAACATACAATGTTAAATAACATAAAATGGCAATACACTTTATCTCTATTTTGTTGCAATTATAATGGTATATAATATATACACATTTGTATATCTATTAAGTTATCAATGTTGTAAACTTAGTTAAATAATAATTAATCCTGTATTTTCAAATTTTAAAATATTGTTATGATTAATATTGAATTAAATAAACTTGAAAATTTTTAGTGGTTTCGAAAACTATTGAAAAACATAATATTTCTCACAAGTAACTGTTAAAAATTATTGCTATAATTTAATTTGATCAGTTTTACCTAACGTGTTAAATTTGTATTATTTTTAATTGAATAATAAATATTTCCGGAAACAGTTTCAAAAAATCCATTGCTCTATTCTGCCACAGAAATTAAGCGCCATTCTATAAAAGTCTTATGAAAGATTAAATTGTGATTAGTTTTTTTAAATTTCCAAAAAAAAGTTAAAATGATTTTTTTAATTTTTTAACAAATACTGTTTATATAATTACATCTTATAATCTATTCCATTGTTATAATAATTGGTTTAATATACTATAGACTATATCAAAAAAAAACTAATTATACTATCATAAACAAACTCAATTTGTATCATTTATTAGATTAAAATTTTCATAACATTAATTATATGTCAACTAAATACTTTAAAAATTTGTATTATTTATTATTATTAAACACAAATAAATAACAATTAATCACAATTTAATTTAATTTTATTTTTTGGGTAAATGAATTTCAATTGAATTTCTAATTTAAAATTAAAAAATTAATTTATATTATTTCATAGTCGGTGATCATGCCATTTCCAATATTACGCTTCATAAATTACAATGTACCGTTGAGTGGAAAGTTGACTTTGGAAAATAATGGACATACGAGTAAGTGAGCTTATCGAACTAAATAAACCTCTTTTTTTTAACAATATTTATTATTTTTAGTTAGTATGCCTATACCGAGTACAAGAAATGGAATACGTCCATACATTTCCGGTGGTTCGTTAAAAAGTCGTTATGAAGCCATTGGTGTACATTTTCATTGGGGTTCGCCAAGTATTAAGGGTTCAGAGCACATGATCAATAATCGTCGTTATGACATTGAAATGCATATTGTCCATAGAAATGTTAAGTACAGTACAGATGAAGATGCACGCAAAAATAGCGATGGCTTTGCTGTATTGGGCATTATGTTAACGGCAGTTAGTGTAAGTAACCAAAAAAAAATTAATTGGTAATTAGCTAATTTTGATTGTAAATAATTTTCAGTTAGTAACTTTTTTTTAGTTTTTAATTTTTTAATAGATAAATGTTAATATCAATTTGTATTAAAAATTCACTGATTTTCTAAATTGTTCATTAATTAACATAAAACCGTTCTGTTAATTACATAATGGCTCGCTAGACAAAATTTTATAGAATATTTTTTAAACCTGTAATTTACTATTTGTTGTTTATTAAATTTATTATATATATTATAATCATTATTATTTATTTAAAATGTACATGTATAATTAATTCATCTTAATATAACGAATTTATTTGTTTTATTTTAGAATCCTGTCCGTCAATTTACAGCCTTCACGAAAATTTTTAGGAAATTACCTTCACTCATAGATTATAAGTCAAGATCATTTATAAATGGACAGATAAGTTTAAATCAACTCATGGGAAATTTAAATACAAGAAGCTTTTTCACATATCAAGGTTTGTATAACAAGAGTTATAAAAGAAATTTCTTTCAATCAAATTGAAAAGTTATAGAAAACTATAAAATTTATATATACATAAATACTTTTTAATCATATCAAATAAATCATTTCATATTAATCAAATGAAAAAGTTAAAAAAATTTGTATACCATTAATTTTTGTACTCCAATTCAAATAATCCAATAAATGAAACAATTCATTCCAAAAAAATTTAT